GTTCTACCTACTTCTCTCTCATTGTTAATGGAAATCATTTAATAATTACTTTTTTTGCATTATTTTCCCAAGTTCAGTATCCCCCTATATCCACAGGGGAGACATTCCAAGAGACCCAGGGGATGCCTGAAACCATGGCTAATGGTTTCATTCAAGCCTACATATTCTATGTTATTTTTGTTTGTTCATTTGCTTTGGAAATTTTTGCTATAAGGCACATGTGCTCACTGAAGAGACAGAGCAACAGAAAGTGAGAAATCACCCCACCACACCCCCAGGAAGAATGGCCATGCCACAATACCTTCTCCTCCATTCTCCTTTTAGAATTTAAGGTACACATGTACATGGGCCCAGTGTGAGTTTCAAGCCACTGGATTTGAGACTTGAACAGTGGCCAGTCATGTGGGAGTCCAATGTCTTTACCACCACACAACCTGCTGGCCTCCATATCCTATGGTTTTGACTGAATCATTAAGATAGCTATCAGGGGACTAATGAGTGGTTAGTGTATACAGCGTGGATACACTGGGCAATGATGTGATTCACATCCCAGGTAGGATGGAGTGGGACAGTGTGAGATTTTATCACATTACTTGTTATTAGATTAAAATGTATGAATTACCTATTTCTGGAATTTTCCACTGAATCGTTTCTGATTGTGGTTGACCTTGGGTAACTGAAACCACAGAAACAAAACTTTGGATAAGAGGGAACCACTATTGTCTTTTGGCTGGGAAGAGCACAGCCATAGAAGTAGCAGTTAGTACTGATCCAGTGAAGGCTTGGTGAGGGAAGTGGGAGATGTGGAGCTAATATTAAGGTGAAAATTGTATTGAGAAATTGAAGAATGTTAACTAATGTTCTCTATATTCTAAGAGGCTACAGTTCTGTAGGATGCTTCAGAGTAAGGCTGTGCCTCAGTGGAAAGTGGTGGGTTTTGCACATCTTAGATGCAGAATGTGCTGGCAGAGGCTGGACAGTATAAACCAAGCTGTAAAACCCCAGTATAGCCATATACTAACAAATCCTGATTTTCAAAAAATCGACCATGATTCTAAAGCACTGCCTTTCTTCCAGACTGACTGAAGGCTATACAATTAAAAGAATGAAACATTTTCCCATTATTTTACTCCCTAGACTTTCCAGGTATTTGGTTTCCTTTGTAAAATAGTGGGTTGGAGATAAAATAAATATCATTTCCACCATGATTCTGAAGTACTGCCTTCCTTCCAGAGTGATTGAAGGATATAAAATTAAAAGAATGAAATTTTCCCATTGTTTTACTCTTTCGATTTTGCACATTTTTGGTTTTCTGTGTAGGATAATGGGTTGGCAATAAAATGAATATATTTCTAGGCTGTGCAGCTTCTAATAGAACTTCAAGATGCTCTAGTCCAGTGGTTTACCTGGCTACAAATCAGAATACCTAGGGTAGAGACGCTGACTTTGCATTTTTCGTTAGATGCTTTGGTGCATCAGATGACTAGAGAGTTTTGGAAACTATTGAGTTTGTACTTTTCAGATGCTTAAATGGTCTGATTTGCAAGAGGTTGGGGATCAATTACATATTAATCCATAACATAGTAGAATAAATACAATTTGGGTTTTGTTTTGATTCTGTGCCTTGAAGGATTCTACCCTTTTTTCTGCAATCCTGTGAAACTTAGATTTACAAAAATAAATAATGACTTGAAGTTCTTTGTTTTAATTTCAACTCCATCCTCATCTCCAGGCTGCAGTCTAGATGGCTGAGAGTCAATTTGTTTTTCTTCTCTAAGGTGTCACTGAGTTTAAATTGTTTTCTGCCCATCTAGAAGATTTCTCTCCCTTAATGTTATGGAAGAAGATGAACTACTCATTGAGCTGACAGGAGTGAGAGGAGTAGGATTAGTTTGGTTTGAGAAATGATACATGGCTGGAGGATACAAAATCAACAGAGATTCATATCCTGGAAGACTAGTTAGGTTATCACGGCTGCTGCCACTATTTTTCGGTTCACGAATCTGCAGGCAAAGCATCAAGGTGAATTACAGCTATTTTTGAATTCTCTGGTTCTATTATCAGCAGAACTGACTAGTGCTACCTTCCAACCTGTGTAGTATTTCAGTGGAAGCAGAGATCCCCATGGAAGTATTTGAGGCGTTAAACCAGGTGAAGTGAAGCCAATGATGAATGAGAATGTAACACTGAATATTTTTACCTAATTAACCTCTGACATGCTCTGACGCCTGGCCAAAATATGAAACTGGTAACAATATTTCTTCTTTCAACATTTTCAACCTTCTCTTCAGTTTCTTCCCTACAACCAACCACTGGAAAACTGGTCCATTCTTTTTTAAGCATCTAATACTTTATTTATTTTGAAAAATTGCCAGAGGGTGCATGCACTTTCCAGAGAGTGACAGAGGGAAAGTGAGAAAGCACCACCTCCACTTCCATGGAGCATGATCACACTGCAATCCCTTCTCCATTTCTCCCTGCTGTAGGGATGTGGGTCACTCATTCATACATGTACCCAATGTGGTTTTGTTTACAGTTTCTTCTTAAATTATTTATTCAATTTTATTAGTAGTAGTAGTATCATTATTTTAGAGAGGATTTTGCTATAGGGTGTGTGGGCTTGCCAGAAAGACAGAGAGATAGAAAGTGAGAAATCACCCCCGGGGGAGATGGTCATGCTGTAATCCCTTCTCCTCCATTCTCATCTTGGGCCCAAACGCACATGCGCCTGGACTGAGTTTAAGCCACTGGGTCTGGGACTCGAACCACGGTTGACTACATGGGAGTTCAGTGACATAGTCATTATGCTAACTGCTGGCCCTCCTCATTATTATTTTTTTTAAGTTGTTACCTAGTATGCACGAGAGAGAAAGTGAGAAAGCAAGCTGCCAGGACTGGTATTCAAACTGCGACCATCCATGTGGGAGTTCCACACCTAAACTGCCATACCACCTGCTGGCCCCTCCAGCATGTTTTTGAAGCCACTGAACCTCACAGTTGACCATGTGGGATCTAGCTGCCTTAGCCACTACACCAGCTGACCTACATCCGGTATCTATATGAGCCTGACTTTCAGCTGTAAGTAAAATCTATCTTAGTCACTTGTTTCATGGATAGCTCTATCTGTTGGCATCAATCAGATAGGGAGTTGGGATTTTTAAACGTGTTTTCTAACTGTTTATGAATTTCGGTCCTGAGCCTATGCTGGAGAGAGAATGGGGACCCTCCTAGTATCAGGTAACTCTCAGAATTCCGTTAGTTACACTGTGGCTTACCATAAATCAGGGGAGTTTTTTGATTACTTTAAAAATACAAATCATTTGTTTCTTCCACAGAGTATAAGTTTCCTCTAGAATCATAACTGAAATATGAAGGTACTTTTAGAAGTTCATGGAAAAAATGGAATTAAAGTATGAGCTTAGGTAAGTGCAAAAAAATTTTAGAATCCATACATAATTTTTTCACAATGTATGTTTTCCATGAAGCTTTTGAAGACCCTTATAGTGTCATTCTTATTCTAGTGAATCTGCATAAAAGCACACCCTAAAGTTTAATCATAATTACAAAGTAGTAAACCTTTAAATAATTCAAAAGGTTCTGAATCGAAAGTCCAAAATTTCAGGATGATTATTTGCTAACATGTCTATTACACTTCACAGTTTATAAGCAATTTATTTTTAAATTTATTATATTTTTAAACATTTGATGAGAGAGAGACAGAAAGAGAAAGAGAAAGAGAGTAAACAAGCCTCTAGTCCTGGGACTCAAAACGCTGTTGGCCATGTGGGAGTCCAGCACCTTAACCACCATGCCACTCACTAGCCCTACAAGCACTTTAAAGTACAAGTTTTTTTTTTTTCTTTTTTTTTTTAGAGAGAGATTTTTGCTATACTGCGTGTGCACTCACTGGAGAAACAGAAAGAGACAGAGAGACAGAAACCATGTAAATCACTACTCAGGAGGGAAGGCCATGCCACAATCCCTTCTCTATTCTCCTCTCAGGATTTTGGGCATGCATGGATACTCACCCAGTGTGAGTTTTCAGCCTCCGGATCTAAGTCTTGAACCACTGTTGACTACATGGGAGTCCAGTAACATAACCAGTATGTCATCTGCTGCTCC